ATGCCATCGAGTACATAGTATACATATCAATCATATCAATCATATTACTCCACAAAGACCTGAACAGCCCAGTTTATGCAAAAAAAAAAAAGAAAACAAAGTACAGAAGATAGAATATTCTGTGCAGGAACCCCAGCAAGAAGAACAAGTCACTGTAATCGATCAATCCACTTCAAAGGATCTGTCCAAAGAAGAACTAGGTAGACCGAATGGATGGTCACCCAAGGAAGAAGTCGGCAATGTAGATATGCTGGATTCATTTTCTCCGATTGGCACCATGAACGAAACTCGAAACACACAGATAACCTCAGACAAGACTTTAAGACATGTGCTTTTTCTGAGTCATTGCCATGCTGATACTGGTTAAGATCCAGGGCCGATGAAAGGCCTGGATCGGAAATTGACTGGATCGATAAAGGAAAACCACAACCTCAGGGAGGAAACAGTAAAAGTAGTGAAATATCTATGTCAAGGGTGGAAAAACGAATTTTGGAGGCCGGCACACCGTAGCGGCAGGCATTGAAGAAAGAAAGACTGCCAGTAAAATCATGCCCGGACGCCAGAACGTTTTGAGAATCTCCCATGACTGAAAAGCAATGAAAATTAAACAGAAAAAAGGAGGTGGATAACTCCGAAGGTTCGAGTTGGCCGAGAAACCAGATCGCGTTATTGCAATCGAAGGATCACTTGGAACTCTAGAAGAGAAGTTGGCGAATATGCATGCAAAAAAAACCATTTTGGACAAAAAAAGAATAATGCTGGTCATGAAAGATGAACAAGCAGTAGAAGGAAAACGTGTCGCGAAGAAGCAAAATTCAGGAAAAAAAATGCAAAAGGGCTCATGATAACTTTTCTCCCGCCGTCTTGCCGGGTTGGGTATTGAAATATTTGCTGACTTTTCCCCGGTTGTGCGGTTTCATCTTTCCACTGGCAATGGCTTCATGGATCGTATTGGAGACGAGGGTATGGTAGTCCGATGTATGATCTTGTGAAAGATGGACCAAGTCGTACATCACGAGGTCCGGAATGGTACGACGGTGAAGCAGACAGTTCCGATAAAATTCCATGAGCTCGTTAAAACCGTTGTGCATGTGTCGAGTCAAAAGATCATCAATGGCTGAACGCCGAAATTCAGTGTACAAATGCGAATTGAAAGTTTTTCTCAAGCTGAATGACCAGAGTTCGTAGGGCTGGATCATTCCAAAGCTATACCTTTGGCCTCGGCCATCGAAAGTTTCTTTGCGAGACGTCTTGAAAGTTTTTGGGACATAATTTGACGTTTCTGTGGACAAACGGCCCTTCCCATTTGACTTGGGCGCCGGTTGATGCGCTTCGGCAAAAGACTTTTTATTGATCAACCAATCAGCACCGCCGACTTGGTGCTGAAAGCAGTCTGTGTCAAAACTACCATACGGCCAGTCAGTGCCTTGCGAGAAATACATGTTATGTAAAAAGTTCAGCATACCTCATCGGGCCCACCGTCGGTTCCAAATCAGAGGGGAAAGGGGGTTCGGACTGTGAATCTAATCCACACGCTGAGGAAGAAGGGTCAACAAATGAATGGTCCACGGGAAAAGAGGAAGACGACGAAAAGAACGACGCTGTCGAGTCATCGGGGGAAGCTGGGGGGTTCCAGGGGTATCCTACATTGGCAATTTCGTTCACTGCGGCGGGTAGCAATGAGGGCATGAATTCCGGAGCGGTAGACGAAAGTGAAGTCTTAACATCATGGGCGACACCGTTGGGAACGAACTGGGGAGCGGAACCGTTGATAACGTTCTCGGAATGGCTGTGAACCGGAGTGTTCTCGTCAGTCTTTCTAGCAGGGGCGGCACCGTCATGCTGGGCGGCAGGTTCACGCTGGTCCACGGGGAGGACCCATTGCTGCCACTTCTCTCTGGGGCGGAGGCGGTCGACACCGTCCTCGCCAGTTTGGCACTCAACGTTGCGGAGCTGACGGGCCACGTGACGAAGGAGCTCAAAGTCCTCAGTGAGGGACTTGACACGCTTGAAGCTGGCAAGGACGTTCAGGGGCACAAATCCTTGAGAATCCATCTGCTTCCGAAGGAACATGTCCTTGCACATGTTGTCAACCGAGAAGTAGTACTCCAATTGCATGGAGAGCATATTCATGAGCGAGAAAGGGTCCATGTATTGCTGGTAGGGAATAGCGCTCATCGGGGCAGAGCTAACAGCTGGGTAGCCATACATCGTGTTGATATCACCTGGGAAAGGATAAACAACACCGTACATGTTTGCGGGAGTGGGCAAAGAGGGCGATCGGAGGGGCATACGGTTTCCTTGTTGAGATCCATTGGGTAGGCCATGCTGCTGTGACCGCTGACGGTCGTTGAAGCCAAACGACTTGGGCACGAAGTTGTTGGACATAGACGCATTGAACTGGCCGTTCTGGCCGAAGTTGGAGTAAGCCCCACCACGGCCGCGGTTAGATCCACGACCTGCACGCTCAGGTCGGAACTCTCCACGTTCGCGGTTGAATTCGTTGAAACCGGTGGCGTCGGCGGACTTCGATCCGGGCTCAAAGCGACGGTCGTTGCTGCGGGCTGCAGCCTGCGAGTCGACAGCCAGGTTTCCACCCTTCTGGTTGCGGTCGCCGGCGCGGGCGTCCTGGTTTCTCCCAAAGGGCTTGCCCTCACGTTGAGCGCGGGGGACGTTCTCTCCTCCATTCACC